AATAGAAACTTGAGAGCTGGGGCTCAGAAGGATGGAGGCAGTCCTTGGGGAAATGCCTTTAAGGGCTATATTTGGCCCCCACCCTTCCTCTCCTGCATCTCAACTACCACAGGTGAACAAACATCTTTGCTCCTCCACAGGCTTCCTGCTGTCGCACTCTGTCCCCATGCCCCATAGCAATGGAGACAGGTGAGCATGCACTGAAACTTCTGAAACACTAAGCTGAACTTAAGTATTTCTTCCTTTAAATTGATTCTCTGAGGTATTTTGTTTTGGTAGTATGAAACTGACATACAGTCTGTGCTTAAAGGAGCTGAGAAACAGAAAGAGAGAAATATTAGGGCAAACTTCAGGGAGACAACAGAAAATTTTTGCAGACATTGATGCAGCACCAGTTACTCAACATGGAAGGTGGAGGTCTGAGAGGAGAAGTGGGGCTGGGGGAAAGAAGCCCAGGATTCTGCAGGGCCACCAGTGACCTGTGCTCAGGAAATGGAGGTTGTACCCAGCTGGGACACAGGGAAAGCTCTGGGGAGCTCACAGTCTGGATGTACCCCAGCAAAGGAAGTCACTGTGAAGTCACACGTCTGAGATTAGGCATGCAGGGCATAAAGGAAAATGACAACATAGATTCATTCTCAACATGAAGGTAGATACCTAGGGAAAGCCTCAAGGATGCTGTGTGTGAGTGAGGGGATCTACTTTACATTTTTGAATTTTCCACAAAGACATGAATGTTTCAAAGGTCATTCTCAGAGAAGAGGAGGCAGAATGCATAGATTGGATTGTTTCCCCAGGACATAGAAATCAGGGTGTAAAATTAACCTTTTGTTGCTCATTTTCTCTCCACATGACAATTGAGTCTAATGGTGTTGTAAAGACTAACAAAGATTTTACTTTTACTTTTTCATGCACTTTCTTTCTTGCTTTCTCATCCACTTATCACACCTCGGCTATTGTCATCCATTAGCCATCATCAGGTGGTACTATACTTTGCATCCTGGCAACTTGATTTTGCTGTAAGATCCTGAACTTGCTTATGTTTCCTAAATTCTGTGGGTAGGGCTGATGCAGAAATTTTGTTTAGATGCCTTCTTAGTAAAGGGTGCTCAAATCCCAGGCCACACACCAGTACTTGTCTGTGACCCATTAGGACCTGGCCCGCACAGCAGGAGGTGAGCAGAGGGAAAGCAAAGCTTCAGCTGTATTTACAGCCACTCCCCATGGCTTGCATCACTGCCTGAGATCCACTGTGTCCATCAGATCAGAGGTGCCATAGATTCTCATAGGAACGTGAACTCTTACTATGACCTCCATATGTGTGTGATCCACAATGTGGATCCTAATCTCCATAAGAGAATCTATTGCCTGATGAGTTGGAGTTGAGGTGGTGATGCTAGCACTGGAGAATGTGATTGTTGTGTATTGCAAATGTATACCAATATACAAAGCAATTCCCCCCACCATGAAAAAATTCATCTTCCATAAAATGAATCCCAGGTGTCAAAAAATGTGGGAACTGTTGCTCTAAGTAACTTTCTAGAAAAATTGGAATACTAGAGTGATTCTAGGTGGAGGGATTCATTTGAATGTTAGAGGACCTACAACAGCTACCCAGTCCCAGGAGACTGCTCCAGATACCTTCTGAGAAAGGAGAGTGCTGCCAGAGAAGAAGCACAGTGGGAAATCAGAGAGGGCAGAGCTGTTGACTGACATTTCTTTGAAATTTAATTTGTAAGAGAGAAGAGGATTTTATTTTGAATGTTGATTTCTCTCTGGATACATAATAATGGGAGATTCATATTCAAATGTACTATACAGCCTTTCACTTGGGTCTTTTATGCTACCAAATCCTGTATGCTACATGAGGAAGAGGAAAGAGCAAATGTTGACTGAGGGCACAGTGTACCTAATAAGAATGAATGAATCCCACTGATCTACCTGGAGTTGTTCATGCTGAATTGTTTCTTTCATGGATTCCAGGGAGATAAATAAGGACAGTGGTTGTTCAAAGCCTGTGACACTTGGTACTGCAGCTGCCACAACTCTGAATCCTTTTTCCCTTCCCACACTGCCTGGTATTTGTAGCTTTGGATACCTGCCTATGGGTAGGAGCCATAGACTGTATCTCACTGACTCCTGAGGTTAGTACATCCACTTCTTTACATGTGCAACGAGCTAGATATTTTTGCAAGGAATGAGAGGCAAGCCCTATAGTGAAGTCCAGTTTTTTGGTCTGGCTGTCTGGTTCAGATAGACAAGTTAAAACCTGCTTCTTGAATTTATCCATGAAATGATTTAATAAAACTGAGTTCTTACACCACTCTTCACAGATTGATGTGAACTCAGAAGAAAAGCTATATTCTTTATATCAAACTGCCAGGCTGCATTTTGTTGCATTTCTGCTTCCAGAGTGGGAAAGTGATGAGAATCTATAAGGATAAGTGTGTAGGACTACATGGTTGAGAGGCAGGGTGTAAGCTGGTCATATTTTATGATTTTGACTTGCTATGGTCTAAATGTGCTACTCAACCCCAATTATAATGTTGGAACCTAACGTACTAGGTAACGGTGTTCAAAGGTAAAGCTTTTGAGGCATGATTAAGGTCTCGAGGGTGGAGACCTTAGGAATGAGATCAGTGCCTTTTTAAGAGATTTGATGCAGCCTCTTTACCACTTTCCACGTGAGGACATGGAGGTGCTATCTAGAAACAGATTCTCATGAGATCTTGAGTCTGCTATCCTCTTGGTCTTGGACTTTCTGAGCAATACACTCTCTTGTTTACAAATTACATACTGTGTGATATTTTATTACAGCACCTCCAAAGAATGATATGACCTATATGGTCTAAGGAAAATATAGAATTGTACTAATGTTTTAAATTTAAAAATTATTATAGTAAAAGACACATTGTCATGGATGCCCCTCAAAAATTTCTCCCTCACTTTGACCACTTACTCCATTGATGGTGCCACTTTCTGAGGCAGGTCTGGATGGAAGTCCTCTTTTATGACTGCCTTTATGAGATCAGTAAAAAATACAGCAAATGTTGCAGGCAAGCGCCGTTCAGGCTTGTAAAAACATTACATGTGTCCTCATCTGCCTTAGTCACCAGGTCTAGCACTGTGTGACTTCTGACTCTTCCCCAAAATCAAAACGATCATGGAAGGTAAGCATGTTGAATCTATTCAGGACCACGGGACAGCCACAACAGTGACACTAAAGATGTAGGAAAGGGACTTTCAGAACTGCTTTAGAAAGTGGAGAGAACAATGGACAAGTCTGTTTGAAGCAAGGAGGAATATTTTGAGGGGAGTTAATCATAATGTGTCTTTTACCATAATAAACTTTAAAAATTAAACATTCACTGTATTTGACATTCTACCATCTAGTCCCTAAAGGGACTGACTACTGGACACCAGAAGATCCTCTGAGATGACACATCATCACAGGGTTGTGACTTGCTGAAGTTGTCTCATCTGCCTTGCCACTTTCTATAGACAATACATGTCTGTTTCCTCTCACAGAGCAATGATGAAGTGAATGAATATCTCTGGTTCCCATGACGCTCCTTCCTCTATCATTTCTTTGGAAAAGTAAGAAAGTGTATCTGGCTCAATGACTACAAATATTTCCACTTGGAGCACGTCCAGTCAGACAACCATGAAGGCAAAATTAGTGTTATTGCCAGAAAGTGGTTGCCTAGTGAGTGCCTACTTTTATGGGTCCCCCGTCAAACTTCGAGCACTTATATTTAGGAAAGTGAAAGAGAGGCCTTAGTCAAGGTTTTCAAGAGATAGGCGAGGTTTCTTCAGACTCCCTTCTGCCACCTCAGTGAAGAAGCCTACAAATTCCTACATGGACGTGTCATAAAGGGAAGGCACCAGATTGCTGAACCACTGCATAGAGAAGAGGCACTCTGAACAGGAACATTTGTCTGAGGCTACTATATACAAATGAAAAATAAATTTGGATTTTATTTGAGGCACTGTGAATTTTAGTTTAGTTCCCAATGACTTAGTTCCAAGTAATGCACTAAATGGGGAAGATAGGTCCATGATTCTCTATATAATGAGAAGGGGAAGTAGTTTGAGCCCACCTTGCATCCTTAAATGTGTACCAATATTTAGATTTGAAGACACCCAAATCAGCAGACAGCTTTTTAGTTAAGAGGTCATAGGGCACTTAACTTGTCCACCAATAAATGACCATTTAGTTCCCAATTGGCTTTCCACTCTTTGATCTAGTTTCTAATGAGTAGAATTGTGAGGGGGATGAGGACCTACACGATTGGTAGTTCGATGTTAAATTCAGAGGGGCTCACTCTCCTCCTAGAAGAATGAGAGAGCACTGCTCACTTAGAGGAATAACGTTTTTAGAAGAACCTGTCAACAGCCGGACAGGAAGTTCTGTGGATGGGAACTTGATATTGAATGCTGATGCACAGACTTAGGTGTGGAAGGTGAAACATCAATCCTGTGACCTCAAAGGTCAGGAGCTCGCTTAGTGGGAGCACACTGTCAGGACAGATGCTTCTATGGGATATTTGACAGAAAGCAGGTGCATGTTAGACCTACTGGAGTGATAGGGAGGGTATTTCTGAGAACGTACAAATGAGTGCTACTTGTTACCTAGATTCCTTTCCCTGAAACGTCTTTTGGGGACCATATGTTTTCTTATGGCCAGATCACCCTAGGCAAAGAAAAGGAAAGAATAAATAGTCAAAGACTAGAATACGTAGGGTTTGCTGTCAAAGACAGAGAAAAGATGATGCTCTACCTTCCTCGAATACAGCTTACGTTTGCCCATAAGTAACTCCTTCCTTCCTTCATTGGGCAGGTGGTCCATGAGGTTTTGCCTCCCTATCATGGTATGTAGGTTTTAAAACTGCTGATTAGGGCAATCAACCATCATCCACACTATACCAGGTCTTTTGGGGGGAGAAGAAAAATTGCCAACATGTAAGAGAAGAAATTTGCACAAAATACAAATATATATGTACATTTTGCAACAAAAGAAACTATTTATTTGGAATATGCATTACCAGTACAAATTAGGAGACTGTAAAACCTACACCGTGTTAGTATCATTAGAGAACACAAAAGTTCAAGTTGGAATCAAAAGGGACAGAAGCCTGTGCTCTCACAAAAGCAGAAAAGCTTAAAACTTTCAAAACCAAAACAGAGCAGAGCTTTGCAAGTTTATATTCTGAATAACAAGAAAAGGGGAGGGGGAGAGAGGTGGAAGATAAAACCAACAGCCAAAGGAAAGCACTTCAAAATGAAAACACCAAACGAAAGAAAAGAATAAGAGAGAAAAGGGGTTAGGGACATTTCCTTTTAACAAAAGAAAAAAAAATGTTTACAAAAAAATAATAAAAATTTCCAGAAAGCTCTGAGCTAGGGATTGAAACCATAAAGGTGATGTGAAAAGCTCGTCATTATTTCGTTTTGAGTTACAGAGTGTCTTGTATTTGTGTGGGAATGCTTCCTAAAGTGTTGTTGCAAAATTCTCCATTCTTTCTTCATGTTACTTTCTTGAGAGATGTCTAAATTAAGCTTCTTCTGGATAATACTGCTTTCTTTTTCCTATAACTAATAAAAACATTCTGAACCAATCTGGTTTTGTGATTTGCTTTAAGACGTATAGATGGGTAAGGTCAGTAATTTATGCTTAATGGTTTAGCATTAAAACTACAGCATGGAGTATGGCTCAATATCTAATCACCTTTTCATTCAAAATCACGATGTAGGATCAGCAAGCAGTCAGGCTCAGAGTTTGCTTCCTGCATTTATTTTATGAAGCCCATAGTGTCTATTGAGCCAGTATCTTCTATGAGTTCTTCTGAAAGAAAAATCCCCTCTAGTTGAAGTCTCATGGAATATTGTTATTAGTCATGGAGAAAGAAAGCATTTGATTGCGATATTCAGAATCAGCAAAGGCAAAAACTGCTTCTTACAGTATAAAAGGACCCCTTGGACTATTCCTTGAAGTTTTAAAGAGCCAAAAGGGGACACAAGTCCCAGACTACTTTTCTCAGGGACTTCAGGAGTGCCACACATCTGGGAAATGCAGGTCAGCAAGGAGACATCAACATGGGCTTTGTTTCCGTCTTTGACCTCAGCTGAATCCCAAAGCAAAGCAGAACAAGGAAACAGGCTATTCTACCAATGTCATCTTTTCACATCACCTTGTATACATATTTACTGAACAAAAATAGTAAGATCATAATCCTGACAATTAAAAAAAAAAAGCCCCCCATAAACAAACCAAAAATAACACAAAACTTTTTTTTTTGTATTTTTTAAGAGCAGGAATAAAGAAAAGAATTTATTTCTGGGTCTCAAAGTTAATAAACATAATGTGTTAGGTTGTACCTATTATGCTCACTATCCCAACCTTTTTTTTTTTAGTTTACAAAATGAATTACTGTCACTTTTAAACATTGTGAAACAAGAAATGAATGTGCACAACTCGACACTTTTCTAGCATTCTTGAACTAATTCACAAATGCAAGAAAATAAAAGAAAAATGGGAGAAATGATGAATGTAGGTAGTTTGGTATTAAAAACTAATGCAGGAATGATGCGTATTGTCACAGAAAGAAGGAGAGTTCCCCATCCTGTTTTGCGTGCTATGAGGGTCATTTTTAAAATTTTTATTATAAACACTATTAAATTCAGACCGCTTTTTTGGTTTTTTCTTTATCTGAATATACAAGAACATTCATTATCAAATGTTCATCATCAATACTACAAAGAACAAGACACAAGTCGCAAGAAACAATGGAAAATGTTAATAAAGCTGAAAGAATCATTGAGTATTTTTTTTGTTTTTTTTTAAGTTTTTTTTAAATTTGAGTTTCTGTAGTTTCATCTTTTTTGGTATCGAAGTCAGGTTTTTCTGGGCAGAAAAATAAAGAGCAGAAGGAAAGTGGGGAACAAGGTGTGAGAAAAGGCAACTAGCAAATAAAGAATCACCACCACAGCAAAATGAAAAGATAAATCAAAAGAAGGTGCCACTTGGCCCAAGTACTGCCCAGGAGTCAATTCCCCGCCAGAAGGAGGAGTTCGGGATGGAGAGGAGGATATGATGAAGTTACAGGTGGGCAAACCCAAGGTCTATTCTCATTTCCTGGGGGAAACTGTACAGAAATCCCTGGGCACATTTTGGTGTGTTGTGGGATTGACCTGCTACCAATTCTGTGTATCCAGAGGCACGCACTTCTTACCCTACCTTTCAGCTGCCACTGGGAGCTCCAGCTTAATATGGAGAGCTCTGTGGCCGCCATGTTGGATGCGGCCATGAGCTTGAAGGGGAGGCTGTGAGAATGGTGTTGGATGCAAAGGGAACCTAGTAAAGTGCTGAGTGGGGAAACTGCTGTGGGAGGTGACCACCAGTGCAAACTGCTGCTTGGGGGTGGGGGAGACTGCTGTGCAAATGTAGCACTGCTCTGATATTTTTCATTAACTTAATGTGGCAATCATTCAATCCACAGTGGGAGTCATTCTTCCTTTCCAAGAGAAACCTTCTGTTTCTCTTATATACTTGGCCCTGTCATATGATGTGATTCAACTGTGTTCCTATGTGCTTACTCCCTGTGTATTTCTGTCCCTAAGACAAACTTCTCCATGGCTCTCATCACTAGAGTTGTCACAAAGATATGCCTTCTCGTTACCCTATCATCTACCACTGTTTGAATATAGGATACTTAAACATAGTCTTTCTAGTGTTCTTGGTCATCTAGGCATAACTGCATTTTGCCTATATTTATTTTTTCATTTTCTTCAGATACACAAATCCTGTTTCTTAGGTAGCATCCCCATCTTCTTGCACACACACACAGAGTATTCATTACCCTAGTAGTATGCAGACTTTTCACAACCCTGTTGTCTGGCCATCCTCACCCCAGAGGGTCTCCTAAACTTCCCTGGAAGCTTTCCAAGCATACTGGATGTGATAGGAGTCAGTTGCTTTTAAAGCTACACAATGGATTCAAGTACAAATAGAACTGGTACTATTTTCCCAGTTGGGAAGCTTTCTTCTACCCTAAGAAACCAAACAGGCCAAAACCAAACCAACACCCACCCAAAAGCTAAAAAACTCTTTGTCATCATGGCAATGACAAGAAAACCACTTATTGTCCTGACAGAGCACAAGCAAGTTTATCTTAGGGATGTCGCTTCCTTCTAACTTCACATTTTCAGATTATTAATGAATTCAAGTTATTCAGTCTCTCACATGCCTACTGGTGAGCCAAACAGAATAATTCTCAGTTTACAGATGAAGACAATTAGGAACCAAAAGATCTGACCTCCTTTTCCTTAATCAAGGGAGAGCTGCCATCTTTATTGCTGGCAGAATTGGCGATGAAGAATGTAAGCTCAGGTGACAGGGGAGAGTAACTTTCTAGCATAAGCTATTGTCTCTTACATATCCCCAGGGAATACAAGTCACTGTGATGATTTTGATGAAAACATTATCACCCTTTTCGATGCCTCTCATGTCATCAAATTAAGCTAGCAAAACGTTCACTCGAACCACATTCTTACACCACTTTCTCCTCCTGAGGATAAGGTCAGGTTCAAGAACTTGATGCAATAGAGTACTTTGGATAATTAATACAATGTGCCTTCTAGGAAAACAAAAATAAAACAGGCAAATCCGTTACAGACATTTGTAAGTACTGTGTGTGGCTCCCTGAGAGCTCCAAAAGTGGCAAGAACAGGAATAGTTGACCCTGGAAACGTGATCTTCGTCACAAGAAAAGTCCTATGCAAGCTACACTGGTAGGTGTGTGCTGGTGGGCTTGCTGGTCCTAGTAGCCCCAGGCACATATTGCTTCTCTGTGTCAGTGACCTTCACTCAGGGTTGCTAGCTCCCCTCCTAAGGTTACCAGAGAGAGTGCTATGACTGCTAATGTATGCATTTGCACATGGTGTCTTGGGAAAGAAGTAAAGGCGTGCGAGTGTGCATGTATCCCCATGTGTGTGTGCACAGGCGTGAAGGACACTGGAGGGTTTCAGGGACAGAACTTCTACTCCTTACTGATGGCCTTCATCACCATGCCTCACGGAAGCCTGATTTGCAGTCAGGTCTGGACAGTGTTTCCTAGGTGTGTGACGGTCTCCAGAGACTGTGCCTCTGAAAGTAGGGGCTGTTGTGAGGAGTGCGAGAAAGGCTGTAGGGATTTTCCCTTTCCTGTTCCTCGTGACCTCCCTGCTGTTTGACTCCTCGCTTGGGAATCCACCTAGTAAAGCTGAGGTTGGGAAGTGGGGCACCTGGAGAAGCCCACCGAGAGCAGTCCCCAGGGAATACCTGGAGCTGGGAAGAAAGAGGCCAGAGTGCCCATCAGGATTGTCCCCAGGGAGGAGGAGCAAGAGGAGACAGGGAGGCCTGGGATGAGGGGGCAACGGAGCATATTCCTGCTAAGAGGTAGTGAGAACAACAAGAGAAACAGAGAAGGATTGCCTGTTAACATCGAGAGAAAAGGATCCAAGGGAGGCAAATTTGGCTCCTCAAACCACCAGCATGAAAACATACAAACACTTTTATTATTTTCTTTGTCATTTTTTTCCTCTTTAAATTCCTCTAATTGTTGAAAATATCCTTCAGTGATGTGATGGAGGGCAGGGACCCCGGGAGGCTAGAACAGAGGACAGCAGGCAGGGAAGATGACGGAAACCAGGCTGAGAGCTGGAGGCAGGGGAGGGTGGCTTCTACCCAGAAAAAAAGGGAAGAGAGTATAAAGAAGTGTCCAGATTGGCTGAAATAGCATCCCAAAGAAGAGAAGAGAAGGAGACTCTTATTGTGTTTGCTGATTGCTTCGACCTCCAGTCTGACCGCTTCAGCGTTGGGAGAGAAACCCTCCCTCCTGCCCCTGCCCCAACTGGGACACAGGGTCAGCCGGGATGCGATTGCTGGGAGATCAGTTGGAGGTATCAGAGTGAACACTGCCAGGGCCTTCTGTAGGGGAGGTCACTGATGAAGGGGTAGTAGCATCCTGCCAACCTCCATTAGCCTAGAAGGGAAAAAGGGAGAGAAGTCAGTTCTCTGTGATCGGGTGGTTGTTTTGAGCAGACAATGACAACGAGGCAACTTGTGTAAAGGACCTAGCACAGTGTGTAGTACAGGGGACATTCCCCCCACCCATGGGTGACTCAGGTTCTCCCAGGGAGTCTTTGGGCACAGGGCTTGACCTCCCACATGTGTGATGCATCTGAACTTCTCAAAGACCTCTTGATTAAGTCCCAGCTGTTGATGCAATGATGCTATCCTAAAAGTCCAGAGACCTGACTGGTGGTTTTGTTGTTTGGGTCTCACCCTGACCCTTGTTGGTAACAAGCAGCTGTTGACAATAGTGAAGTATCTTCACCTCTTTGGCCTCCTTATTTTGAAAAACAGAAAAGGTGGCCCAGTTGTTTTCTGAGGTCCTTCCTAGCTCTGAGTATTCTAGGCTTATGGGATTCCAGATCTCTGCTCTATGCAAAGTTCTGTACTAGAAGCTCTGAAGCACGTGATGACGAGTGAGCTAAGGCAACATCCTCAAGGAAGAAGGTCAGACAAGCCCACCAATGCACCATCACTCAAAGCAGAACCTAATAACCAGCAAAGCCCCAGTAATAGGAAGGTTGCAGAAAACACTAGTCACATTGTGACATTTGGAGCAGGAATTTCTGGACCTTGTGGAAGAAACACTCACTCAAGTAAGCCTTGAGAAACAGAGGGTAGCTCTGGGGAACATGAAAGGTAAAATTGGATAGCCAAGACTGTAGTATTTGCCTCTTGAATGTATTGGAGGGCAGCGAGATTTGACCTTCAGAGGTTATTTTTCTAAGGCTCTAGATCTAAACGCTGCCCCAACAATGGAGTTGCTCTAGAAGGATTCATTTAGTGACCAGCACTTTCAAAGATCACTCCAGAATGAAAATAGTTGAAGGAAGATTTGCTATAGAAGTTAACTCAGGGTGCACAGTTCATAATTGTGCATATTCCTAAGGCAATAAACATAATTGTCCGAAAATGTCTTTCCCCACTAATCACTGTGTCCTTTCAACTCTATAAATACTAATGTTGAACAAAGCAGGTCTTATATGTTTTCTATTGTACTTTATTGTACTTTATTCTATTGTATTTTATTGTTTGAAAAATCTGGAGTGGAAAGGACAGGAATTGTTATTCTCACTAGGGAAGAAACACCACTTCTACTGTACCATAATCCATAGTACGTAGGAAAGAACCTAGTGCTTAATAGGGGTTAACAAATGTCTGTTCATATTTCATTCACGGACAAGCAGAGGTGTAAGAGCAAATCAGCCTTCGGGTTCCATGACCAAGATGGATCACAGGCCTTCTAATCTCTGGGTCTGGCTCCCATTTGTCTGCCTCTTTCACCTCCTTGGCATTGTTACTGGCTTACCCAAATTGTGCCTCAATTCCCCGGGAAGTCTGGGGTTTTAATTCAAAGTAGCTCCCAACGGTCACTTGACCAGGAGGATAAATTTTATTGTCCCCTCTTATTGAGCATATATGGGCTCCAAGAGGCAAGCATTCATCCTGGGCAATGCCAAGAACATGTCCCCTGCAGCACAGGCTCATGAATAACTAAGTGCTCTTGACCTCTAGTCTCCCAGCTCCTAATCCCATCAGCTGCTTCCCCACCCCTCTTGTGCCTGTTGGAAGACCTCTCCCTGTTGTTCATGATAGGGATATTCTACAGAAGGCAATGAGAGGAAAATAATTCCTTCTTTCATAAGAGAAGGCTTTTTCATCTTCTCGGGGCCAAGACTGCCGTATAATTCAAATCAAGACAGAATGAGTTCAGATTCATAACGCTAGTACATTGTGGAGAGATGATATTTTCAGCTCCCTCCCCAATCACAACGTATATATCCTGGTACCATTTTAGGTTGGCTGAGAACAGCAGTTATTTTTTAACCATAGAAAATTTTTTAGCGCGTTACCTTTTCTTGTCTGTGTGTATGAAAAGTAAGATATGCTTATCATGCAATATTTGGAAAACAGAAAAGCATAAAGAAGGACATATTCAATACCCATAATTTTGCTACTAAGAGATAATTACTGTTAGCATTTTGATATGTCTGTTTCAATAATCCTTTTAAATGTGTATGTTTACCAGATAGCTATAAGGGTAGATAAATAATAGATGATAGATAGATAGATAGAGATAGGTATAGAGGATGTGGCTTGGTATTGGTGTGTGGGTTGGTTGAACAGTATGAGATTTTACAGAAACATGACAAAGATTCTTTACATACAAATTTGTGATGCAGTGAAAAATACTATTAAAAGAAAAAGAAAAATTCAAAGTCCGTATCTTTTAGGATCAGCCTTGCATAAGACAAGGAGATAAGGAAGCCCTTTGAAAAAGTTTAGCATCCCTGTCATGACATATATCACAAAGAAGCTTCATCACATTAGTCACATATCACTACCTGCAACTACTATTTAATTCCACAAAAATAATAATAATTGGTGCCACCAGTGAAGTCATGAGTAAAGAGAATGAACTCTTCATTTCTTCATTAGAAAGGAGTGGGCAAAGCATTTTTTAATGTCCTGATGGTTCTGGGAGAATTCTTTCTGAGTTATCTCTGGGCCAAAATAACTCAGATAGTAAACATCTGAACTCTTCTTAAAAGTTCTACTTTCTCAGGGCCAGTGCACAAGACGCCAGAGGATACAGAGAACTCACAGGCAGTGAGACAGGAACTTCAACCAGATATCAAACCTACCAACTGAAATATGCCTGCTGAAGAATATACACAGAGCACCCTACCAAAAACAAATACCTACAATAAACCTCTATAGTTTTTTCCATCCCTCTGCCACCCATAAATACAGAGACACATACATGGGCATGAATGACTGCGTCAGATTGGGATCACTCCTGTGTACCTGAGACCCTCCTAATTAGTCCCAAGAGTCCTATGTGGGGTACCCTTCCCCAGGATATTACAACCACAACACCCTACTTGTTGCCAAATTTAGGTCACCGCAGCCTATGAGGTCCAGGTTACCAAACAAGTGCTCTGTAGAACCAGCATTTCTAACACTGGGAAATGTGGAAGGACTCTTTTCTCTGGAGGTGCTTTACACTGTCTACACTGCTGGCTGCCAATGCTGCTGAAACCAGCAGGTCAGAAGTGTGAGCAAATTTAACTTCCTGGTTCCCGGTAAATCACTTTGGCTTCTTCAGCTGGATCCTTCCCGCTTTAATGTAAGGCATTCAGACGCTGCACCTTCTTGGGAAACAGCTGACCTGGCTTCCTGCTGAGGTAGCCCTGGGGACCAATTTCTTCCCTCTTCCTCCCCTGCGGGTGAATATTAAGTAGGAAGCTCCACCTTTGCATTTATTTTCTAAGCCCAGTGAGAGAGGAGGAGATGCTCTCATTAACAGCTGTTTGGGGCTGGCAGGAAGTAAGACTTTTATTGTTTCTTTTGCACCCGCACTTTCCACTTTTCTCTCTGATTTCTGGATGCAGTCTTCAAAATGCTAAAGTCAGACACCACCCTGAGGGGTTCCAGGGCCGGGAGGGGGAATCTGCAAAAGCCAAAGTGTCTTCTTGAGCTCCGAAATCATTCCTAATGGAGGACAGGAAGAGAGGCTACATCGGCTCCTACAGGCAATACTGCACTCAGGGCAAGCATGGTCCAACTGACTTCTAATTCTAACAGACGAAGCTTAAGGCCTGTATAGCCAGCTCTACCCGGAGTTTCATGGAAGAGGGCACTAAGAGGATGTCAAAGTGGGACAACACACAGCACCTTTCCAAGATAAGACAATCTGTGTTTTCGAAATTCACATTAAACATAGCTGGGAATAAAATATTTCAGAACAAAGAGTATTTGTATAGCCTACTCTAATGAGTTTGGCACATAATTTGCTATACTAAATCTTGCAAGAATCCTATTTAAGGATAAAGCAAAGCATGCCTGTCTGAGGAGAGCCTGCATAGTCTCTCTGACAAAACACAAGATGCAGAATTGGAGTTGAAGCTGGGCACAGTGGTGCACACCTCTAGTTCCAACGCTGGGGGGCCGAAGCAGGAGGATCATGCGTTTGAGGCTAGCTGGGGCTACTCAGTGAGTTCAACGCCAGTGTGAACTTCACACTAAGACCTTGTGTCAAAAACCTGAAAGAATTACTGCTGAAACCATGACCTCTATCTTCCCTGCCACCTCCTTCAACCAGAACAGCACCTCCTATAGTTCCCTCTCCCTAGTGGCTGTGGATCCAGAGGTGCTTTTAGGCCAGAGCTCTGCCTGCTGAACTGAGAAGCGCCTGTCCCATCTCCTCTTCTTCAGGCTCTTCCTCTGTGCTTACCTTAGCAGCACGCTGTTGATGCAGAGAATTCATCACCTGATGTGACAGCCCAAGTGAGCCTGGCACTAAGAAACTCTCATTTGCAACCCAGAAATACGCTGAGGTGCCACAAACCAGCTGATGTCAGCACGGAGTGGAGCTAGATCTGCATACGGGCCAGATGCCATTACCAGAGATGGCTTCAGCGGGGGTGAGATGTACGTGCTCCAGGCCCTCAATCACCAGGTGCTGGTGGGGCCAGCCAGTGGGGAAGACAAAGAGACACAGCTCTTCTCTTCCCATCCATACACATGCTACACATGTGCACACGCACGTACACACACATACACACACACACAGCATATTCAATATATACCGGAGATGTCAGCTTACACCGGAGAAGCCTCATCTTAGTTTCATTACTCTGTTAACCCAGGTGAACTGTTTTTTCCTGGTTTATGTAACACACTCCCTAGACCACACAGGGAGCACTTACCAGGGGACACTTTGGGAATCAAGAGATGCTACTGGAAAGTCCCCTAAGGGTCAGCTTCTGATCCATAATTTCCCTGGGAACTTTACACTGGTAAGGAGATCTGTAGCCAGTCTCGCTCTCCTCCAGTCCTCTCTCTAGCTGCTACCAGAGTGAGGGTCATTCCAAAATGTGGCTGTAAATACGGCACCTCTTCATTTAA